GTGGTGGTGGAGCACATCTTTAATCCCGGCAGAGGTGGGCAAACCTCTGAGAGTTCGAGGCCAGCCTAATCTACAGACTTCCAGGACAGGCAGAGGTACACAAAGAAACCCTGTTTCCAAAAACCAAACCAAAAAAACCCTAAAGAAAAGACAGTGTTCCCCGGGCGGTGGTGGCGCACGCCTTTAATCCCAGCACTTGGGAGGCAGAGGCAGGCGGATTTCAGATTTCTGAATTCGAGCCCAGCCTGGTTTACAGAGTGAGTTCCAGGACAGCCAGGGCTACACAGAGAAACCCTGTCTCAAAAAACAAAACAAACAAACAAACAAACAAACAAAAAGGCAGTATTATCCAGGTTGTGTGTGTTTCCTCAAGTGTATCTGGAATCTTGACTCGGATGTGAGCATATCGGGAGGAAGACTAGCACCCTTGTATAGGAACCTGATGTGGTGCACACAGCAATTCATTTCAAAGGATCAGCGATTCAAGCAAGGCTTCCCTCTGTTACGGAGTCAGTTCAATGCCATCCTGGGCTGTATGACACCCCTGTCTTAGCACCTCTTCCCTCCTCTTCCCCAAGACAAGGCCTTAGAGAGAAGCTTGTTGCTTCTGTCTTATAGACATAGCCATTGCCATGAGAGAGACTTTGCCTTCCAAGTGTGAGCAAGTTTGGTTTTGTAAGCTCCCCGGCTATGGCACTTGCTATAGCAGCTCAAACATACTAAGAGCAAATTGGAAGCAAGAGTAGGACTTGAACAACCCTCTAGATCTGAAATAGCTGTGCCCCTATCTAATGCATAGAAACTGGGTTTTAAAGCATACGTTAGTAAGTTAGTTATGTGTTCACAAATGTAACCTTGCAAGGTGATTTCGGTGAGGGCTGAGGAGAGAGTTGGTGATAAATCTCATTCTTAGAGAGCACCTCCCTGAGTAGTCCTGTGGAGAGGAGTGAGAAAGCCTGCTTGTGTTTGGGAGAGAACAAGGGTATGGCCAGCTAGACTTTTCATGTTTTGCTGTGTTTTGTGCTGGGCATTGACTCTCAAGCCGCCTTTTGATAAGGATGTAGGTAGTCAGGTACCATTCACAGATAGATGATCCCAACTGCACTTTGGAAAGTATGAGGCTGTCCCTCCCATCAGCCAGCCAGCCTAGGGTTCAGAGGGAGGGGGCAAAAGGACTGCAAGCCTTTTGGTGCTCTCAGGCTCCAGAGGACCAAGGATAGCATGTTCTGTGGAAGGCTGCCCTCCGGTGGAAGCCTTCCCTTCATAGACAACGGTAAATCCTGGTAGCTGCACACTGCCCAGCACAGGTTTATATCTGTAGGACATTTTGCCTCAGGATGAGTCATATCCTGAGTCTGACCCTGGTTAGATGACATTCAGTCATTCAGTAGTCGGCTCCATGCTCGGCAGGCCCAGCACCACCAAACCGCATTCCCAGCCGTGTGACATATAGGTAAGCTTTCGGGCTTCAGAGTTTTCTTAATATATATGAGTTTTGTTTATGTGTATATGATCTGTGTAGGTGTGTGCACGTGGATGCAGGAGCTCACAGAGGCTAGAACGGGGTGTCGGATCCCTTGGAGGTAAAGTTATGAACCACCTGATGTGGGTGGTCGGGGTTAAACTTGGGTCCTTTGGAAGAGCAGTATGTGTGTTTAACCACTAAGCACATTTCCCAGGTCCTAGACTTTGTTTTTGTTTTTCAAGACATGGTTTCACTGAGTAGCTCTGGCTGTCCTGGCACTCACTCTTTAGACCAGGCTAGCCTCAAACTCACAGAAATCCTCCTGCCTCTGCCTTCTGAGTACTGGGATCAAAGGCGTGCGCCTCCACTGCCTGATGACTTTTTAAAATTACATTTTTTTTGGAGGGAACCTGGGGGTGAGCATGAGTACAGTGATGCCTCTGGAGGTCAGAGGACAGTTTGAGAATGTCCGTCCTCTTCACTGTGTGGGTCCGAGGGTCACATTCAGATTGTTAGTGTTGAGCTATCTGAGCCAGGACTTCAGACTTGTGACTTGATACAGAAGTATTGGGAGGGCTATTAGATTAGACTGAGATATTTTATATTTGAGAAGGGCGTGGATTTTGTGAATTTTGAGAGTTGGCAAAGGTAAAGTGCTATTGTCTGAATATATTGAAGTTTTAATCACAAGTATAATGGCCCAAGGGGGAGGGGAGTAAGGCCTTTGGAGGTAAGCAGATATGAGGGCAAAGAGCCTTCGAAGAACAGTTCCTGTCCTTGTAAAAGAGGCCCCGAGCATGACATAACATTGATATCCAGACTCTAAGGCTGCCACGTATGTAGCCTACACATACAGACAAACAAACATACACATAAATTAAAAGTACACGTTTTTAAAAAGATTTACTCTAGTCGAAATGGGCTAGAAGGAAATAGTACCTCCCTCCAGGACTCTGTGTGTATGTGTGTATTTTGATCTTTTTACTGAGGTTGGACCAGCGTGTTTATTTGAACAGTTATTTGTGTGTTAGGATGAAATTACAGTGCAAAGTAACATTAGTAATTCAGCTCTTAGAGTTGAGGGCTGCCTGTTGATTCTTCTGAATCTTTCTGCAAGTTTTCTGCCTGTTCTTCGGGTCCCTAAGGATTTATTAGTTAAGTCATTTTCAGGAAAGGAGAAATGAGAAAAGACATAGGCTTGAAATGCCTCCTCTGTGTCCTGGGTCTTTCTGAGCAAGCCTCTGAAACTCTCAGGGCCTTAGTTCCTTCCTCTTTATTTTAGTTTCTTTCTTTCTCTCTTTCTTTCTTTCTTTCTTTCTTTCTTTCTTTCTTTCTTTCTTTCTTTCTTTCTTTCTGTCTCTCTGTCTCTCTGTCTCTCTGTCTCTCTCCCTCCCTCTTTCTCTTCCTTCCTTCTTTCCTTCTTTCCTTCCTTCCTTCCTTTTTTCTTCTATTCATTCATTCATTCATTCATTCTTTCATTCATCCATTTATTCGACTCAGGGTCTTCCTGTGTAGCCCTACCTGGCATAGAAATCACTTATGTAGCCCAGGTTGGTTATATTATAGATATGAAGCACCATGTCCAAATAGTTCTTTCTTTAAATAAGTGAGGCCCTGGGGATACAACTTAGTAGAGTACTTGCCTGGCAAGCATGAAGCCCTAGACTATATGCTCAGCACTATATAAACCAGAGCCTTGTAGTCCGGGTTAATCTCAGTAACCAGCACTCGGAGGAGGAGGCAAAGGGTCAGACGGTCAGGGCTAGGCCTCTAATCCTAGCACTCAGGAGGCAGAGGCAGGCAGATCTCTTGAGTCTGAGAGCAGTCTGACATACATAATGAGTTCTAAGCCAGCCAAAGCTACATAGTGAGACCCTGTCTTAAGAGCAAAAGTACAAGTGGGGGAGAATCGAGTCCCTCTAAGGCTGTGATAGGACCGCCTGTAAACTTGCCGTTTGTTGTCTATAGACTTGAACATTCGTATTGTCTGCTCTGACACAGAGCACACACAGTGCTCACTAGCACAGCACCCCAGGCCCCACGCCGGCCGTTCTTCTTTATACTCCCATAGACCATTAGCCTCTGTGCAGCTAGATAGTCACTGTCCTTCCACCTGCTTCACTTTCTACCTTTTGAATAATATATGTTCTGTCTGAAGTTTGAGGTCTTTCTTTTTTCAAGACAGGGTTTCTCTATGTAGTCCAGGCTATCCTGGAACTTACCGTGTAGACTATACTAGCTTCAAACTCAGCATAGATCCAACTGCCTCTGCTTCTCTGGGATTAAAGATATGTGCCAAACACTACCTCTTGTTCTTGGTTTTTAAAAAATGCTATAATATAATATAATATAATATAATATAATATAATATAATATAATATAATATAAAGCACCTTTAGTCTCAGCTCTTGGGAGGCAGAGGCAGGCAGATCTATATGAGTTCGAGGCCAGCCTGGTCCACAGAGTGGGGTCCAGGGCAGTCAGAGCTACACAGAGAAACTGTGTCTTGAAAAAAAAAAGTAGGAATATAAGTTGTTTTTGTTTCTTTGTTTTTCTATGTCTATGTCTAAGTTAGGACAACTTGTGGGAGACAGTTCATCCACAGCATGGGTTTTGGGGATTGAATCCTGGTTATCAGGCTTGATGACAAAGGGTTTAACTGCTAAGCCACCTTATGGCCCAGAGGGAACTTTTTTCACTAGTCACACTGTTTACAGTACTACAGGAAATTTGTAATTACAGTTGGTTGCTGTGATAAGAACTCCTAGGCAGAAGGTAACTGTGATTTCTCAGGTATATAATGGACATATTTCCACAGTAAACGAAATGTTTTTGGTACAGCTCTAGTGGTTTTAAACAGCAGTGGGCCAGCTTCAGCATGACTGTATCTCTCCTTGCCTGTTTCCCAGCAGACATTCAAGTCTTGCTCAGAAATGTATCCTTAAATAATGGGAAGCTCTCTACTAGCTGTCTAAGACTTGTAGCATTATGTAGTTGCTTCTGTAAGCTGGAAACAGCTGTAATTTGCATGATTGGTCCTTTCTCACACATGGAGACTGAGCTCTCTTCTGGCATTCACAGTGTGACTTCCTGTTCAAAGTTTGTGACATCCGAGCTATTTGAGTATGATCATTGCTTTCATACCTGAACCAGTTTTCCTCTTGAGATAGCAGTAGCTCAGGCTGTGCTCAAACTCACTGTGTAGCCAGAGATAATCTCGGACTTCTGTTTCCTGTGTGTATGCATGTGAAAGTCAGAGGTCCCTGAACATTGTCTTTCCCAATCCTAGTTATATATGTGTGTATGTGTGTATGTATGTATGCATATATGTATGTGTGTGTGTGTGTGTGTGTGTGTAGGTATGTGTCCTCGGAATACAGAAGAGGTCATTGGATTTCTGGAGCTGGACTTAGAGGCAGTTAGAAGCTGCCTGACATAGGTGCTAAGAACAGAGGTTAGGTCCTGTGCCAGACCAAAGGTGCTCCTAACCACAGAGCCATGTCCTTCTCTGTCTTCCCAGTGCTGTGCAGTGTTGGGAGTCAAGGCTGTGGCAAGCCCTCTACCCGCTGAGCTGCTTCCCAGCCCAGTTTCCTGTTCGCCTTATGTAGCACTTGATTGGCCAAGAACTCGCTTGAACACAGAGATCTGTTTGCCTCTGCTTCCCAAGTGCTGGTGTTTTTAGGCAGCTTCAAGCTGGCTTGATGACCCAAGTTTGAGCCCCAGAACCTGTGTAAAAGAAGTCGGACACAATTCACATCCATGATCTCAACACTCCTGAGGCAGAATGGGAGGAGGTAAGAGAATCCCCGACCTAGAAGCTTACAGGCAGTACAGCATAAATTGGAGATTCTGCCTCAAAACAAGATGGGGCTGAATGCAAACATATGGGTAGAAAATTCCAGAACTGACTGGTTTGTTAGTCACATAGTGTACATCATTTGGTGCAGTTGTTGTATGTTTGAGCCATGGGTCAATGTTTTCCCCCATTCAGAAGAGTACAGTTCGACTTCACCCCTTCCTTTCTGTCCCACCCAAGAGGTGAATCCCCCTTTGTCTCAGTGTATCCACATGTGCTACTTGCTTGTTAGTCACTTGGTTACTGTCTGGTTACCAGAACTCAGACTGCTAGTGCTCATCTTCAAGAATACTGTGTTGAACTTCAGTATCGGGCCTGCAGGTAAGAGTTGTGATCCTGGCGATTGGAAATGCCAAGAAGAAGCTGGAAAGAGTTCCCATTCCGTAAAAAGGTAGAAAATTTCAATTACATAAAGAAAGGAAAAAAACTGTTGATGTCAGTAAGTTCTGTGGTAATGAAGCATTAAACTCTATTTTTCTATGAAAAAGTTATGAAGAGTAATTGAATACAATAGGCACAATTAAAGAGTAACAATAATCATAACATGCTAAATAAATGTAGAAAACAAGACAAAAACATCTCTCTAGCTTTAATTCTAGCACTTAGGAGGCTGAAGTAGGTTACCCAAGAGTACCAAGGCCATTGTGGATTATGTGAGACCTCTTTTTTTGTTTTTGTTTTTTTGTTGTTGTTTTTTTCAAGACAGGGTTTCTCTGTGTAGTCCTGGCTGTGCTGGAACTCACTCTGTAGACCAGGCTGGGCTCGAACTCAGAAATCCGCCTGTCTCTGCCTCCCAAGTGCTGGGATTAAAGGCGTGCGCCACCACTGCCCAGCCATGAGAGACCTCTTAAAAAAAAAAAAAAAAAGAATAGTGTGGGGGTAGGGTGGGTGCTGGAGAGGTGGCAGAGCCAGTTAAGAGTATTGGCTGCTCTTTCAAAGGGCCCAGGTTAAATTCAACACCCACATGGCAGCTCACAATTGTCTGTAATTCCTGTTCCAGGGAATCTGACACCCTCACATAATCATAGATGCAAGCAAAACACCAATGTATATAAAATACAAATTAATACCTTATAAAAAAAAAAAAGGAGGGCTGGAGAGATGGCTCAGCAGTTAAGAGCACTGACTGCTCTTCCGGAGGTCCTGAGTTCAAATCCTAGCAACCACATGGTGGCTCACAACCATCTGTAATGGGATTTGATGCCCTCTTCTGGTGTGCCTGAAGACAGCTACAGTGTACTCTCATAAAATAAGTAAATAAATCTTTTTTTTAAAAAAGGGAGGAGGGGGAGAAGAAAGTAGAGCTAGGCAGTGGTAAATTTAATCCCAGCTTTCAGGAGGCAGAGGCAGGCAGCTCTCTCTGCAGATAACTGTGTAGCCATGGCCTAGAACTTGCTTTGTAGACCAGGCTGGCCTCAAACTCAGTATCCTCCTGCCTCTTGAGTGCTGAGATTAAAGGTGTACACTACCACGACCCAATTGATACAGAGTACCTCTGTATTAATGTTAACCAACAAGTTTACTGATTGACCAAAGAATTCAGACAATTTAATATGCTCATGCAAGAAGCGTGAGATGTACTTCTCCCTGGACATAACAGCTCTAGTAGGAGAAAGAACGTTCCTTTCTAGGGGTTTGTGCTATATCTCAGAGAATACAAGTGTCTGGGCTCAATCCACATAAGAAAAATCGGGGACTGAGAGATGAGTGGGAAGCGAAGAGTGCTTGGTGGATAGCCGTGAAGACTGGGGTTCAAACCTCAGCACCCGTGTAACAGCCTCACATGTAGTATGTGCTTGAGAAGGGCAGAGGCAAAGCTGTTGTCACTTGCTGGCGTCCAGCCTCCCTGAGAAAATCCAGCCCAGATTCAGGGAGAGGTTTTCAGGTGGATTAAGCAGAGTACCAGAGGAATACACTCAGTGCCCTCTTGTGGCATCTGCACACACAAATACACACATATACAAGTAGTCTTAAAAATTAGAATTCTTTTAAAGCTTAATTTTATTTTATGTTCATTTCTTTTTGTTTTTAACTTCATGTACATCTGTGATGGTGTCAGAAGGCCTGGAACTGGAGTTACAGGTAGATTTGAGCTGCCATGTGGATACTGGGAACCCAGGTCCTCTAGAAGAGCAGTCAGTACTCTTAACCACTGAGCCATCTCGCTGGCCCCACAAATGATAAGTCTTTACACATGTAAATTCAGAAGACACAGTTTTAAGAGACAGGCTCTTGTTCTATCTAAAATAACCCAGACCTCCTGGGCTCACATGGGTCTTGTCTCATCTTCTCATATTATGGGGACCACCTGTTCATGCTGTGCTCTCCCTCACAGTACAATGAGAGGTGTCATTATTTCTGTCCCCTAGGCACATAACCCACAGGTAAACAGTTATAGAATGCTTTCAAATACCAAGACAGGATTTGGGCTGTTTGTGTTTATCTCTCTATAAACAAGTGTCCTTTAGTTACTAAGTGACAGGATGGCTTAGTGTATAGGGCTTTGGTTTGTTTTTAAATTTTTAAACAGTAATTGTATGTGTGCATGTCCATGTGCATGTGTGTACTCCGGAACATGTCATGGTAGAGGTCAGAGGGCAGCTTGTAGGAGTCGGTTCTCTCCTTCCACCAACTGGTTCTCAAGAACTCAGATTGTCAGGCTTGGCAGCAGGCACCTTTCTAGCCACTGCATCAGTCCAGCATTTAAAAAAAGATTTAATATACTTTTATTGGTGTGTGCATGTGTGTGTGTCTGTGTGTGCACACACTCTCATATGCACATGCCCCAAAGGAATGTAGGTCCCCTCAGAGGCCAAAAAAGGGCATGAAATCCCCTGGAGCTGGAGTTCGGAGCTGCTCACCATTGGTGCTGGGAATCTACCTTGACTCCTCTGAAAGAGCAGCAAGTAGTCTTACCCACCGAGCCATCTCTAGCCACCCAACATTTTTTTTTGTAACATCTTTTATTCACATGTATGTCCAAATATGAACATGTATATGAACATATACATACCCATGTGTCAAGATGTAATTTCATTCAAATAGTAAAATACATAGGAAAATCAGAGGGAACTATTATCATCTGACCACTAAGATTATTTCAGATAATATCCTTCTTCACTTCCCCAGTTTAAATTCTGGGTGTGTGCAAGCCCTGCATAGTTTTTAAAAGCCTCAACCACAAGAATTTCACATTGAGCATGGAAATTTCTTGCTGCTTTCTTAAGAGGAAACTGAAAGTGCCTGTCCCCCGCCACCCCGCCGCCGTGTGTGTGTGTGTGTGTGTGTGTGTGTGTGTGTGTGTGTTTTTGAAAACAAGAGTTTCTCTGTATAGCCTTCTCTACTTCCTCTTGTAGTAGAGAACAAGCATTTATTGAAGAAAGAGAATCTAGGATTGGTAAAAGAAAGGTTAAATAGGGGTGTATATTTTTAGACTAAAGTCTCAATAATTAAGGAAAATCCAAGTTGCAGTCACATGGGGGCCTTGGAGCAGAGTGTATTTCTTTTTTCCCTGCTAAGCTGATCAGACTGGCTTTGACCAGACATCCTGAACATGGAGCCCTATGGCTTCAGTTTCCCAAGAAGCTGGTACTACACTTTGTGCCCCAGGCCCTGCTCTAAAACAGTTATTTTGAGAAGAGTCATAGGGCAGTGGTGGCACACACCTTTAATCCCAGCACTTGGGAGGCAGAGGCAGGCGGATTTCTGAGTTCGAGGCCAGCCTGGTCTACAGAGTGAGTTCCAGGACAGCCAGGGCTACACAGAGAAACCCTGTTTTGAAAAACAAAAAACAAAAAACAACAAAAAGAGAGAGAGAGAGAGAGAGAGAGAGAGAGAGAGAGAGAGAGAGAGTGTCTGTCTTACCGTGTAGCCCTGTCTGACCTGTTACTTGCTAAGTAGATCAGCCTGGCCTTGAATTCACAGAGGTCCAACCACCCCTGCTCCTGCCCCCTGAGACTGAGGGTAGGCGCCACATCCAGCTTTCAGTTCATCCATCCATCTATTCATCCATGCATGCATCCATCCATCCATCCATCCATCCATCCATCCATCCATCCATAGACCAGATTTCTTGGTATAGCCTTGACTTTCCTAGAATTCTCTGTAGACCAGTATGGCTTTGAACTAGACATCTACCTGCCTCTACCTCCCAAGTGCTGGGATTTAATTAATTAATTAATTAATCTATTTATTTATTTATTTATTTATTTATTGTTTTTTTCAAGACAGGGTTTTCTGTATAGCCCTGGCTGTCCTGGAACTCTGTAAACCAGGCTGGCCTTGAACTCAGAAATCCGCCTACCTCTGCCTTCCAAGTGCTGGGATTAAAGGCATGCGCCACCACCGCCCGGCTAAATAATTTATTTTTAATGTTATTTATAAATTTACTTTGTGTGTGTGTGTATGTTTGCATATGTATAGATGAGAGAGAGATCTGAGTGTGTACATGCACATATACCACGATGTATATGTGGAGGTCAGAGGAAACTTCTGGGAGTTGGTCCTCTCCTTTTACAGTGTTTGGGTTCAAACACAGGTCATTAGGCTTGCAGAGCACGTGCTTTACATGCTGAGCTATTCCCTCTCCCACTTTCTAGTCCAGCGTTGGAGCCACTTAGGTAAGAGAAAAGCAAATAACCAATGTATCTGTGTGTGTGAGCATGCATATACATGTATGTGCATATGTCTCCAGGCCAGAAAAGGACATAGGATTCCTTGAGGTGGAATTATACAGGCCAATGTCAACCACTTGACATGGTTTCTGGAAACCAAACTTGGGTTTTATAGACAAGAAGCAAGGGTTCTTAACCACTGAGCCATCTCTACAGCCCAATAAAAGAAATTCTTAATTTTGCATGACAGGTCATTAAAAGCCAATAATCAAAAATACCCTTGGAATCAGTTAGACAAAAAGAATTTGAAAAAGGAGAAATTGAT